TGTATGAGCCCCTAATAAAATGTTTTAAAAAAAAGCTCATGGCAAACAAGCATCTAAGGTATAACCATTGGTCTCTACATATCCAAAGGAAAGATAAGTGATGAAAATTCTAAGAACATAAGTAAATAATTAGTCCAATGACTAATGGTCCATACACACACCAGCCTACCTAACTCTGAATCCAAGAGAACTAGATGGTGTCCAGTTACCACTACTAACTGCTCTGAAGAAGATCCTACTAGGGGATCTGGATAAAGTGGCCAAACTGAAACAAAACAAAATATACTGGAGCCCAGTGTTACTAGTCAGATAAAGGTGGGACCTGGAGACCATGACCCTTAACATTCACATCGAACTGAACTCGCCCCTGTGATAGAATAATGAACCATATAAAATCAAACGACAGCATTTACCCCAAGTCAAGGTTCAGAGTGTCAGGAAAGAAGGAGGAATGGAAGTGGTAAGCCAGACAAATGCAGTAAGTGATAGTCCATTGAAGGGACTAGTGGATAAGGTCAAGAGTGTATGGACTGTCGAGTGTTCAGATGACTTGCCTGCTCTAGACCACTGAATTAACAGTTTTCATAGGTCCTAAAGAGGCAATATAAATCTTGGTACATATCTATTGTCTATCAGCTGGTATTACTGGACACTAAAATTAGCCAAACCAATGAGTATGAAAAGATTTTTATTAGTAATTGCATTGTATCAGTCTAACTCTTATAAATTGTTTATTAACCATTTTCATTCTTTGCCTGGAATATTCTTTGCCCACTTTTCTACTAAGAAGCCCTGGTAGCACAGGGGTAGGGTTAGGGATTGGGCTAGAGTTGGAAGCTAATGGTTAGAGATCAGATCATGACTTGGATTAGTATTTGAGTTGGGGTTAATGTTTAGTGTTAGGGTAAAGGTTAGTGTTGGGGGTCTTTTTCTTAATATAGGCTCATATTTTGGATCCCATTCCTTTGTTGATTTACATAGGTTGTAAATATCTTTTCTGCTTTGTCATCTGTTTGACAATGTTCATAAGGTCTTTTGATGTATGGAAGGCTAAGATACTAGCATAGTATCTTCTATCACATTTTCCTTGGAGTCTGTGTCTAAAATGCTTACACTTTTGACTTTGTCTTTAAAACATGATATTTTTGACTGATGAGGGGAGTGCGGAGTGGAGACCCAAAGCCCATTTGTAGACCACTGGAGATCTCCTTGCAGAGGGGTCTCAGGGAGGGGACGAGCCAG